CATTCCAGATACATGTGAAACAACAAAGTGCACATGCTTACTACTGTCATAATGTACGCTTAAAAGTAAAGATATTAAATTCTGAGTTGTGTGGTTTTTGTTTTTTTTGTTGTTGTTGTTTTACCGCAATTAAAAAAGAAAAATTGGCATCATGGATTCAAACTACAATATACCCACTCAGTTCAATCCCATAGCAATGATGAATAAAATACAAAAAGTTTATAGAACATAGCTCAGGTCAAAATAAGCTAAGCATCTCTATGAAACAGAAACAAAACACCGAGGAAGCTGCCACTGGAACAAGGTCAGACTTTAAGTTTCTGAAGCAAGTAGTATCATCCAAAGTTTCTGTATCCCTGGCCAACGGAAACAGCAACTTTTCATTAAAAAAGGAAGACCAGAATGAAGAGCCTGCTGACATTAGGGGCTTAGATAGTTTTCCTGCCCTCACTCTTAGACTGGAATAAAAATGATGTTGTGAGAGTTGACCAAGATGCAGTCACAGAAAGGAGCCCCCCAAGGAGTGACTGAACCGTGGCCCTAAACTCAGGGATATTCAGGGAGCAAAAGCTTCTTCTAAAAAGTTTATCTATTTTGTATAAAAGATATATTGATGCGGAAATCATGGCTTAATGTGACTAAGAGACTGGAAAATTTACATTAAATGTATAAAAGTTTACAGTTAGCTGCATTTAGAACTGAAGAAATATGATTGTTTGCACTAAAAGTTCATTCCAATTAGCTAACAAGAAAATATCCATTATAGTGTGTTTCAAAACATGGAATCTAAAAATTATGTAAACTTTTCCAGGAAAATTACCTGCAAAAGAAGAAATAATAAAGTGGTAAAAAGCTTCTAATAACCAACAACAGATGTCAGAGAAGACAGTAGAACATTATTTTTCAATTGCTTAGGAAATATTGATGTACTCTGAATTTTACAATCATTGGAATCATAATGAGAGTGCAAATGAAAGAAAAAAAATTTGCATGAATTCCAAATGAAATGAAGTCACCATTTATACACAAAAGAATTATTTAATTTAAAAGAAAACATAAGACACTGGGTGACCATATTTGAAACACAAGCATAAATATCATCATAGAATTATTTCAAAAATTGTTAATTTGGGGACAGTGGTGTGGTAGAGCAAGGTAAGCCCCTTCTGCAACAGTGACAGCCCAAATGGGTAGTAGTGTGTTCTGGCTGCTCTGATTCTGATACAATTCAGTCAGTGGCCTGGGAAAGCACCAGAGGGTGGATCTTAGTACTCAGGTCTCTGTTATCAGAGAACTAGATGAAGCTTCCAGTTCCTGTTCTTGGTCTAGCCCAGCTCTTGCCATTGTGGCCTTTTTAAAAGTAAATCAATAGAAAGTTCTTTTTCCTCTCTCTCTCACTCTCGCTCTCTCTCTGCCTCTCTCTTTCCCTTTCACTCTCTCGGATTCTGTAATTATCATTTTCATATAAATAAATCAGCCTGCCAAAAATATCATTAAGCTAATCACTGTTATAAAATTGCTGTTCTCATCACTTTAGATTTTTTATTGTTGATTTGTAAAGTTTGTTTATTTTAGATCCAGTAAGACAGATGAGAGATAATTCCCATGCTCTTGCACAATATCAAATGCTCACAAAAGCCAACTCTGGGATAGGGCCAAATCTAGAATCAGGGAATTTGATGCCTTCTTCTACAGGGGTGGCAGAAGTCCAACTACTTGAACCACCTCTGTTGACACTCAAAATCTGGAAAGCTAAGAGAAGCTTAAGTCAGGATGGAAACCAGGCTCCCTAATATGGATCACAGACACCTGAATTCCCTAACTACCAGGCTCTATGCCTGCCTTGGATTTTATTTTTAAAGTACAAATAATCAGACTGGTAAGAAGGGCAGTAGTATGTACCAAGCAAAAAAACCAGCCTAAGATTCCCTAAACTCTTTGTTAGAAAGACAGAAGCATTAACGATATTTATTAGACTATGTAGTGATGTATGTATAGCTAAGAATCAAGACTTTCAAAACTACAACCAAAGGTTACAAATGAGCAGAAGAGTTTCCACAAAAACAGAAACTTCAATAACTCAGCAGAAAAGTCATTTAGATATTTTAAAAACTCAAAGTACATTACTAAAAACAAATCCAAGTATATCAGTAATCTCATCAAATGCTTTTGGATTAAAGTTACTTGACTAAAAAATAAAAACAACAACAACAACAACAACACACACACACACACACACACACACACACACACACACACACTTTCTAGAAGAGATCTTAAAACTTAGGTTTGGGCCTGACTTGGTAGCCTAGCGGCTAACGTCCTCACCTTGAACACGGCAGGATCCCATATGGGAGCCAGTTATAATGCCGGTGGCCACACTTCCTATCCCACTCCCTATTTGTGGCTGGGAAAGCATTCAAGGACAGCCCAAAACCTTGGGATCCTGCACCTGTGTGGGGGACCCAGAAGAGTCTCCAGGCTCCTGACTTCGGATTGGCTGAGCTCCTGCCATTGCAGCCGCATTGAGGAGTGAATCAACAGATGCAAGATCTTCCTCTCTGTCTCTCCTCCTCTCTGTATATCTGACTTTACAATAAAGATAAATAAATCTTAAAAAAACTTAGCTTCAATGTGACCCAGCAATCACTCCATCATTAAGATTCTTTCCCTTTCTCTCGACGAATCAGGAGAAATCAGAAACAAACAGGGAGTGAAATTTCTAGCCTAGGTACAAACAAAATAGGTAACTGATGCTGTGTGTAAATTTTTCTTAAACTCTGAATTGTCTTCTTTAGGACCCATTAGCTTGCCCCTTCACTCTCCCTTCCACCAAGGAACCCAAATCACCCATGTGCTGGTAACCATAGTTTTACGTGAAATAAAAAATTGCTTTGCAAATGATTTCATTGTATTATTCTACGTAAAAACAGCTTAAACATCAGAGCGTAACAACAGGTTTTTAACTTAGCATAAGGCTTTGTTCCCCAGCTGGGATGCAGAGCCCCAATAAGCAGCAATAAAAGTTGTGATGGTATCTCTCACACCCAGTTCTCTTTCAGGTCTGTCGACCTACTAACGGCCTCTTTTAGTCCTTCAGCAAAAACGTTTCAGGCCTACACTTCTCGTTTAAAATTAGAAAGCAGGTTTTATTTCCATTAGTTCTATCCAGAAAAAGGGCAACTCTGCAAGCTAGGCCCTCACAACCCATGTAATTTTAGGAAAACAGTTATTCGTGCCTTCACGATAGCACAAGTAGGGGAAAAAGTGATGAGTCTTGGGATGGGACAAGGACAAGACTGCTGTCCATGGAGACAGAACAGAAATATAAGTCCCAAAACAAGCAATCCCCAAGTGCTATCTCAATTACAAAGAGCTCCTGCAGTAAGATTATCTAGCCAAGAGTTTCTTATAACCCTTCCTGTGAACTCCAGCTTCCTGAGTCTTAAATCCAGCTCTAAGCAAGAACAGAAAAATGCCTCTACACACAGTCTGCAGAGGAGGTATCTTCACTCCTCTTTGTTCCTTCACCACCTACACACATGCACACATACAGACGCACACACACATGCACACTCATCTACTGCTACAAATACTATTATCAGAGTTGTCTTCCTGGCTTATGGAAAGCAACTGAAATTCTCATCCGGAACTCTACAACTCCACAGTTCGGAACTACAGCGCCACAAATTATGACCATTTAAATAGATACCATATAGTCTACCTTTACGTGCTTGTATGATCACTGATTCAATCCTAAAATCAATACTACTGTAAGATCACCTCTATGATTTATTTTTAACGCATTCAAAATAATTTGTAAAAGACTGACTAGCTAGAACTTGCTCTTTTTCTTCTTTTAATATACATTCAAAACAAACTGACAATGATAATATTTTAAGAACTGTTGGAACTATGATGAATTAAGAATGAAACTTCTTGACTTTAACTGAAGGTGTATTTATCTTTAAATGTTATTTTAATAAGAAACTGTCAAGCACATGTACATATATAGAATATATATATACACACATTCAAATGTGAATATTTTAGGACTAAAATAGTAACATAAGTTTTCCATTATGAATGACAGATGTCTCAATAATAGGCAAGTATAACGCTCTATTGATTTGTTTCATTTAATATTGAAACAGATTAATAAAAACTATTTACTAACTACATTAGAATGGAGAGGTCATATGAACCTACTAAACAACTTTGTGTTAACTACTGAGATCATAGAAACTAAGGGCTGAAATCTGAAATCATTATTTTCAAGGATTTTTTCATGAACCACACATAAGCCATGCCATTATGAGAATGCAAAACTTACACGTATACAACATCTAGTGCATTTATTTTCTTTCAATACATTAACTATCCTTTTGAGAGCGAGACAGTGCTAGTAACACACCCAACGATCTTAAAATGATTTTAGTGTGGTGTTCAATATTTCCATTTCGAAGGTTGAGAACTTCAAAGAGTGTAGGTGATTAGCCTGTCAACTATCTAAACAGTAACTGAAATGAAAGTACAGCCTATACATCCCTGCCTCAAAATCCAGAGCTCATTGCACAAACTCGGTGCTTTTAAATTACACCTACTCAAAGAATAGTATGTATTAGGTAGTATACCGACTTATTAAATGGAAAATGACCACCATCTACAATTTGATCCCCTAAAGGAAACCTGGAACATTTACAAACAAATTGACAAAAATTTCTTCTTAAATTTTGCTCTGTGTCTGAAATTGAGGTGACAAGAGAGAAAAGGTCTAACTCCTTGAATGAAAGAGAGGTAAGACTCAAAAAACAGTATATCCTCTAAAGTGACAGCTAGATGTGAGAATTGATATCTCACGGAGAGTAATTGGCACTTTCTCATTCAACAGGACATGGTCTTCAACATTCTAAATCATAAATCAATTGAAGTAACTCCAAAGAAACCCTGAATCTGAAGATACAAACATTGCTTCAACACACACACACACAGGTACTTACTGAGCTGTAGAGATAGCCTTCGCCATTCATGGCCACATAGAGGCTGGCCTTCACCCCTTGGATGGCCACCACACGAAGGCCCACAGGAATTAGATTGAAGAGAGCTGAAAGGACAGAAAAAGAAGATGGGGATGAAACAATCAATACCATTTTGAGTAAACTACCTTGCTTTTACCTGATTCTTTTGACAATTGAAGTCTAAAAATCCCCTGCTGCTCAGACTGGACACATACATATTCAAACAGAGTAACATAAGATGATTTCTTCAAATTATGGCTCTGGCCACTGCAGTCATCTGAGTGTGAATCAGCATATAGAAGCTCTCTCTCTCATTTGCTCCCACTCTCGCTCTGTGTGTGCGTGTGTGTGTATAATTCTGACTTTCAAATAAATAAACTTTAATAAAATAACAAGATATCTGCCAGAACTTTTACTGTCTTAAAGATTTATTTACTTACGGGGAAAACAGAGTTTACAGAGAGGAAGGGAGAATCAGAGACAGAAGGAGAGTGAGAAGGAAAGCGAGAGATCTTCCATTAGTTGGATCACTCCCCAAAATGGCCACAGCAACTCTAACTTGTTCAGTACAAACACAAGACCCAGAAATTCTTCCGAGTATCCCCAGTGGGTGTAGTGTCGGAAGACTTGGCCCATCTTTGGTTGCTTTCCCAGGCATGTTAACATAGAGCAAACCAGAAGTGGAGCAGCTGGCACTTCAACCACCACCTCAATGTGAGGCCTGTAACAAAGACAGTGGTTTTACCTACTATGCCATAATGCTGGCCCCATTTCAAGAACTTTCAGTTGTCAGTCTTTAACTCATTACCTGGAACATGGTCTTGAACACAGATGCATGTAAAAATCACTGACTCATGAGCAGCACGAACAGCACAGTTTTTTTTTTTTCAGTTTTCTGCATGTCGATGAAGATAGATAAATGACTTCAGCCATAATGGAAATGTTTTATAGCCATGGAAAATGCCTTATTGTACAAAACTACTAAAAATTAATTCAGAGCATGAATGATATGGTATAGTAGACTAAGCTTGGTTTTATATGCCCCTATCCTACATCAGAATGCCTGATTGAGTCTTGGTTACATTGCTTCTAGTCCAATTTTCCATTCATGTGCATCCTGAGAGGCAATGGATGATGGTTCAAGTTCTTGAGATCTTGCAACCCATAAGGGAAACCTGCATGGAATACCAGACTCATGGCACTGGCCTGTCCCTGCGCTGATTGTTGCTGGCATTTGGGGAGTAAATCAGAAAACAGAAGATCCTGATCTCTCTCTCTCTCTAATTTTCAAGAAAATATTTTTAAAAAGTAACTTGACAATTTTTATCCAAGAAAACATTAATTCAGTAACTTAAGATACAATGAAAACATATTTGTATTCTTTAACTATCTGTGTGGCCCATAATGCTTAACAATCAGGACAAACGTTTGGCCTTATTCCTACAACAATGGTTGGGACTCCAACACCACACCCCATAACCCAGTGCCTAGGCTGGAGTCCTGTGTCAGCTCCAGATTCCAACTCCCTGCTAACAGCTCCAGATTCCAACTCCCTGCTAACACTCTCCCTGAGAAGCAGCAGGGGTGGCTTTAGCAATGGAGTCTCTGCCACCCATGGAGGAAATCTTCACCGAGTCCCTGGCTCCCAGATATGACCTTGCTATCCCCAGGCACTGTAGTTATTTGGGGAAATAACTAGAATGTGAGAGCAATCCCTGTCTTTATCTGTTTCATTGGCCATCAAAAAGAAAATTGATAATGATACTGCACAGTCGATAAGTGCACTTGGAAAATCAATTCATGCACCAGGAAAAAAAAAGATAAATAAGATATTCTTTCATTTGTTTCATATACCATTTATACAAATTCTATATCCCTGGCACAAGTCCAGCTACTGTTGAAATTTAAAAAATGAGCATAAGTAGAAAATGTTACCTTATCTGGAAAAATAAAGTAACATTTGGGAGGAAAACAACCACATAGTTAGAGCCCAGATCTGGCAATGTATGTATGAATTAAATATGTCATGAACACAGGCACAAAAGAATATTTCTGTAATTTTGTTTAATATTCCTAGAAGTTCTTATCTGCTTTTCTACTGTGAAATTTCTATCAATTCTAGTCCTCTTAATTTTGAAATACATGCAAACTAAGCTAATGGTTAGCCATTATTCAGGAATTCTTCCATTTTTCTGGAGTTCTTTCAACTTGAGCTAGATAGTAAGATAGGAACATACAGACGCTCACACATATTCTATTCAACTTTCAGTCAGATGTTCAAGTGAGACTTGCAGAAGATTAAGCCACAGACCACAAGTCTGTTGCAGCAGGATTCGATTGCCATCCGAGGACATTAGTTCAGTCTTAGTACATCTTTGAACTTCTTTCCTAATTTGTCATAAAACTTGACACTATACCTTAATAGTTGCTTGACCATTGTTGGCTCAGCTGGGATCTGATTTAGTTTTTGTTTTTTTCCCCCCATGTTCTAATCATTATCCTTGTGCTACCGAAGAAGCTTAAGAAATTCTCACATAAGACCTTGAAGTTTAGTTTAAAAGAAGCTAAGACATATGGAATAACCTGATAGAATGCATAATTTACTTCTATATTTAAATGTAATGTATACTATGTATATCCTATGTTACAGAAGTTCAGAGAAATGCAAGATCTGGGTGGTCTGAAGCAGTTAGGAAATGCCTCACACAGAAGCTCAACTCAGCAGACTCTGAAAGAAGGGGAAGCAGTTAAGTAAGCAAGAAGAGGACATTTTTAGTCAGACAGGATGTGAGGTAGCTTTATGGAATGCTGTGTCTCTTTACGAAGACTCCAGCAGATCAAATAGCTGACTCCAATTGAGAAGAAATAAGAATGTCGTCTAAACAGAGTAGCAACAAATAACGGAGAGTCTGCCTCTCTGGCCAAGTGGGAACCAAGACATACATTAGAAATGGAGCAACAATACAGAGTATAAGACTGTGAGAGGAAGACAGCTGTTTGACACCAGTGAAGAGGCTGCTTTAGGACACCTGCATGTCTCCCACATCAGAGGGCCTGGTTCGAATTCTAATTCTACCAGTCCAGCTTCGTACCAAAGCCTATTCCAGGAGGCAACAGTCATGGCTCAGGGCTGTGAGTCTCTGCCTTGAGTTCTGAGAGCCTGACTTCAGCCTGACTCAGCTCAAGCTGGATGAACATTTGGGGAATGAAGCAGTGGATGGAAGATACCTGTGTCTTTGCCTATGACTTTCAAAGCAGAAATAACAATAAATAAATATTTTAGAGTATTAGAAATATAAAAACAGCACAGTGTATAAGCCCATTATCCAGATTTAAGAAGGCTTTGAGTCATTCCTTTATACTTATACCCTTACCCAAAGAGTTGAGGGAAGAGCTAAGTATAGAACCCTGTTCCTAAATGTCTCATAACCATAAATGGCTCATTTCTATTTAATATATATCAGTGATACCTGGTTTCTTTGCTCATCAAATAGAGGTATCGTAGCATTGATAGAAAAACTGACATAATATTTCAGTATTATATTTTCAGTAGTATGCTTAATTTTGGTAAAAGCTATCCCACTTCTAGGAATATACTCTAAAGAAATTAAAACTGCGTATGAGAAGGTGATCTGTAATCCTGTATTTACAGCAGCACAATCTACAAGAGCAAACATATGGAAACAACCCAGATGCCCATCCAAAGAGGAGTGGATAAAAAAAACTATGGTACATCTACTCCATGTAATATTACTCAGCCACTAAAAAGAATAAAATTCTACCATTTGCAAATAGATGGTCCCACCTAGAGATCATTATGCTCAGTGAAGTAAGTCAATCACAAAAAGAGAAATACCATATGTTCTCTCTAATATAAGGAATCCATCATGCAAATTGGAATGTATAGTGGTGGAGTAATGGAGACTATCACATCGAGATGTGAAGACACAATGCAACATGCATCTCTACTTCCAAACGAAAGATGGACTCCCAATGAAAGTGTTGGATATATCTAGGCAATGGGATGATGTACTGTCTGACATTGTCTGTACCAGCAATGTTGGGCACACTCCAATAGCAGACTGAAGAAATTGAAACTCCTTATGATGAGTTATGACATTATGGAAAGAAATCAGTTGGGGATGGATATTAAGGGAAGGGGAATTCCAGACTCTACAGAATTGTGTGATAAATTTAAAAAAAAGAAAAAATAATACCTTCATTTGTCCATCATTTAATTTTCAAAATGTTGATCAATACATTAGTTTAATCGGATCCCCAATGACAAATACTATGAAGAACTGATGATAGGAAGATTATCTTAACCTTTAGGATAAATTCAGACAGGTGACCCAGATGAAATTTTATGTAAACAAGGTTTTCCGGCTCACTTTTATGATTATCTGCCTTTGTATAACATGCCCTCCATTTTTAAAAATTTTAATGCCCCTCAATATCTGTGCTTGATTTCTGCAAACTAACAATCTAGATACATTTAACCACATATCTTACAGCTAGACATACCTCTTATGAACTCAGAATTTGGCCAAGGGGATGCAATCAGACAGGCCTTTATATGTCTGGACAATCTTTGATTGAAGATAGCTTATAAATGTCCTATGTTCTCTTCTCAAACCTTTGCCACATTGCTGTTTGGCTGAGAATGTGATGCCAGTATGTCAGATCATTACACTGTAAGCAAGTGCTACTCCCAAGTGAGCGATGGCAAGTGAGCTGGATGGAGTTAGTTGTGTGAAGCGCTGGCAACGGTCCAGCACTCAATTACCAACATCCAACTCTTACATGAAAAAAATAAGTCCTTGTTTAAGTCTGTGCAGTGCAGAACCAGCCTTAATCCTATGTGATATTGACTGCTAATGAAAGCAGAATTAATATGCAAGGCATCACCTGGGCCCAAGGAGCTTATATATTGTAAATCAAGTTCAATGACAATTCCTCTAAGGTAGAATAATTAAATCCAAAACTGGGTTTGGATGATGTCTTTCTAGACTTCTCAGGAAAAAATGTTACAACCAGTGGTTCATGTAGGCAAAACATAAAAAAGGGCTTATTTTTTTTTTCACAT